GAAATGTGTATTTCCAGGGGGTTGTCTGGTTCAGAAGAAAAAGTGCTAGGAATGAATTTGGATTGACAGCATGAATGATTTCTCTTCATTTTCTTGCACAATAAATCTAAGTTTGGAATCAATCTTACCATGATAAATCTTACATGTATAAACATTGGTAACCAATATTTTATTAATACAGCTGGAGGACTATCCAATAAAACAAAATATTTTGCCTTTAAGACACCTTTCATCCTGGAGCACTTTACAACCCATATACTATTTCTACAACCTCCCTGCTCTTGGGCGTGCTCAGCAGACTGAACCCACAGCACCCAGTAGGGGTGCAGAGCTACACACACTTCGTACATACCGGCAGACTTACTGACACCAACAGAGGTAAGGAAAGTCTTGCTTGTTGAGAAGGCTGAACACTCTTATTTTACTGATAGTTTTAGTGTTCACGCAGGTTAGAGATTTTTGTTGGGACCACTGGACCGCTTGTATTGAGCCACTGAACACTGGTGTTCAGTTACTAAAGGCAACAAGGATATGAAAGAACAGTTCACATTGCTGTTGCATCAGAACAAAACTAATACTTCAGCAAGAAGAAGTCATACTATCACAGCATAGACAATGGTGGGCTGATATCTCTTCTCTTGTAAAAGTGGGAACGACAGGGTGAGTCCACGTGAGTCTATGACATGGTACCTGCATGAGCATTGCCACCAAAGGCATTTGCATTTCGACAAGGAGTGCAGGAGCCCACGCATGCCTGAGCACTCCCTGCAGGGCATCCATGTCTTCAGTTCCTGCAGCTGGCAGTGGGAAGCAAGGGTGGATGGACATCACATCCCGCTTGTAGTACTTATTCAGGCCATTAAAAACTAAACCAGGATTTTGGAGGAGATGGGTGCAAAGCAGCCTGCCTGTTCCATCAAATGAGTCAGTGCTGTTCCATGGGAAAAATCAGGTTAGAAAACAGGCATCACGAATTTCAAAGCACATCAGAAAAGCCCACACATAGTGAATCATAGACATCATAACCTGGTCAAAATATGTTTCTTCACAATTCTAGCAGAGTCAAAGCTAGCATTTAGGGCAGCCACAAGGTAAAGGAGATGGGGAGGTATGCAGAAGCCCCGCCATGCCTTGGCACTGTGTGTAAACCCTACTTGTCATATGGAGGCCTCCTTTTCGCTCTCTTCCCAGTAAAAACTCCAGTCAGGCTATGAAAAGCACTGAGCTGCCCAAACCTGCTGAATGAGTATCCCAGAGGAGTGAAACAGGGAGGTACTTCCGAAAATACCGGTCAATAGTCTTTTGTGCATTTAGATGCTTAAATAACTTTGGAAATCTGGCTCTTAGGTGATTAAGCCACCCTCTACAGGCAGTTAAGTATTCTAAATGAAACAGTTTATTAGGCATCAGCACTCTGCTCTGAGTTCATGTTCATTAACCAAAGCGTGGCTGGTTTCACGCAACCGGCTATTAAGGCCTATGGAAATGTGCTTCTTGGCTGGGAGGGGAGCGGCACAGTCCAAAGGTTCGGCCATAAGTCTGAGACTGAGCTGTGGGTTCAGTCTCTGGTTTGGCTCCGGTTGCAGCACAAATCTGGGCAAGTCATTTCATCCCCATGTGCTTCCTGGTTGGAGGCCATAGGCACTAATGTAACACAAATAATAATAGAGAGACATTTATGGTAGTTACTATTAAATTATAAACAAGCGATTAGGAGGGTTTTTTAAATGGTGTTTCTGTTTCTCCTCTCGCATTTCTAAAAATAATTTGCAATCTTGTAAGAGTTACAATAATGAGGAAATAAAAGAGTGAAAACAGTTGAAGTGCTTTGAGGTAAAATACTGTGTTTCCCTCATGTAAAGAGTATCTCAGTGTTTTTACTGGCTTTCAGACCAAAAGTGAAGAAAATCAAAACACAGAAAAATTACTGTATGCAAAAAATAAGAACAGTACATAGGAAGGTGTGTGGGAGATATCCTGCATATGTAAGGATTACTTGGCAAAATGGATTTCTGCTGAGCTGAGCTTCTCAGTAAGAATTACTCATTGTCTTGCAGCTGGGAAAACTAACACCGTTATGAACACGCAAGTATGCCTAAAAGATGATTCTGAGATAACTGGAGCAAATAATTGCTGTGGGACCTTACAGTCTTTATAGCCCATATGTACATGAGATGTGTCTACTTGCAAAAGAAAACAAAGTCACTGAGGTCAATTAAGTGGTCAGTTAAGTAAATAACATTTATTGGAGTCGGCGTTCTGCCACCCTTCCTCAGGCAGGGTGCATTACTCAGAGTTGTAAATGGTCTGTAGGAACAAATAAGAGCCACCGTGCAATCATGAAACATGGGGGACCCTGACTGTCACTGAATAATAAAATAATTCCCCATATTATATCATTTATCTCACAGTGAGCAGCAAGCAGGATTTTCAGTACAGTGGAGTGATTTTGAAAAAATGAGCCAAAGGGTGATTTGTCTTATTTTGAAGGCATTATCAGTTCTGTGTTATTATTTGTTCTGGCAGAAGGCAGAGACTGGATGAAAATTGCTCCACTCACAACAGCAAGGCACCCGTAAGTTATTTCACAAGTGTCAGAAAAGAACAAATACGTCATTCGGCAGATGTGCATTTTCCAATACTATGCCTTTGCTGGGGCAGTTGTTGCTACCTGTGTGAATCTGTAGAACCTTTGATGGAAAATAGGGACGTCAACGTGAAAAGAGAAAGAAAAAAAGGAAAAGCAAAGCATAAAGGAAAAGAGAAAAACAGAAACAGAGAAAGGAAAAGAAACAGGAAAAGAAACACAGGGAGAAAAAGAGAAAAGAGGAAAAGAAATAGAGAACATTTTTTAAAGAGGGAAAAGGTAAAAAAGACAAAAAAAGAGGAAAAGATGAAAAAAAGAGAAAACTTTCTTAGATGAGACCAGTAGGTGGGAGTGTTGACTTTATCCCAGAGCACTCACAAACCTTAACGTGAACTTTTCTTTTCTGTGAAAGGGTAATTCCCAAGAAATGAGCAAATTAATCTTATCTGTGTTTTGCTACTTTTAAAGATACTGTCCTTCGTGTCACATACCAAAGTGAGCCCTCTTTCAGAAGTACTGCATTGTCCATATATTGCTTTTGGCATCACATCTTGTTTGGGAGATAAAAAGAAATTCTCTGATTTGTCAGGGTTTTGTAAGCCAACTTAGATACTCACCATTCCCATAGGTGATGGGGAAACTACTGTTCACTCTGGCAAAAGCCCCTTCTTTACAAGAAATAAGAATGGTGGCAGAAAGCAGAAAAACATGAAAACACCTGTATTTACACAGAGGAAGCTGGGGGTGGGGAGGGGGGAAATGGGAGCTTTAGAAGTAAATATGTTCGTATTAGTTTTGAGACTTAGGTATATTTTTGGAAGCTTGGGTCTGTTTCAAATGGGGCAATAGAAGGAAAGTGGGGAAGAAACATGGGAAGGAGAGCTATTTCTGTGCCAGAATGGGAGAGTGGGGCTGAGTAACCTGTAATGTCAATGTCTCCAGTTTACCCTTCCTTTGATTGAAAAGACATCTAGCACCATGGTTTGCCACTGTGGCCATTAGTTTGGTATGCCTCTGTATTTGGGGTGCCCATGTATAGGTAGCTGTGAGCTGCGGTGGAATTATGTGAAGGTTGAATCCTGCCCACTGTGACTCTGCAAGCTGGAATTTAGCTATCACACCGCTGTTGCAAAGTGTGGCATCACTGAGAGTATCCTAGCTCTGTACCCCTGCCAGGGCACCAACAAGTCTTAACAGCCCTGAGTGGCTTCACCTGGGACCTTCACCTACACCTCTGCATAGGAGAACCATTTCTGCTCAGGCCTGAGCACCCAGACCCTGCCTGAACAGCATCATGGGTGTGTCAGGCTCCAGTCCTGCCTCTAGATGTCTCCTGGATGGACCTTGGACCTTCGCTGCAGGCAGCTTGTCCTCTGGATGAACATCTCAGACCCACATTTCAGCTTGTCAGAGCTCTGTCTCTGGCCCTGTCTCCTGCTGCTTTTGACTGGACCTCCAGGATGGACCCAGGATCTGACCCATCACTGCCCCCTGAGGTAGTGTGCACGTCCACAGCTGCTATTACATCTTTGGGTGTAGTATAGGCTACCCCATGGGTGAGCCCCACATGGCTGGCTGGTGACAAACCGAGGGTATGGTCCCTCCTTTAACCGCTGAACACCTGCTTGTCTACAAATTTTAGCACTAGCCAAGCCCCTGTCCACCCAAAAATAAACTGTGTTACAAGACTGAACTGTTTTCTGGGAAGGCAAGGAGCAGGAATATATCTAGCTCTCCGTGATGCACTGAAAGGAGGGAACATGGGAATGTATGCACACTCAAACTTGTACTCGGATGGCACAAGATGAAAGGACAGGTAATGAAAGCAAATCATTACAGCAGTACACAGAATGCAGAAAGAAAATATAAACTAAAATTTGAAATATCACCTCAAATAACTTCACATTAGTAGAGGTTTGAATGGCTCTGGTTTTAGGTGTTTTTTTTTTTTAGTTTAGGGGTGTTTTTGATGTTACCCTACAGAGGAGACCTACTCATGGTACTAATGCCACCAGCACCAAGAACTGAAACAAAATATAAAATGGTAATTTACACTGCTGAGAGAGAGCAGAACTCTACCACAATTTTGTCAATACAGGTCCTCTCTTCTGTACTAATTAAACTCCCATTACATCCAGCCCTGCAAAGAGAGGTCTGCACAAATCTATCACATGTTGTGGCATCCTTTGAAGCTCAACAACAAAAGGATCTTTCCCTCTGGAAAAAGAGAAGTACTTCTTTTAAAACCTGCAAGCAACACCTCCTACCAGCCCTGCATCTTTAGGCCAAGAGGAATACAGTTGTCCACCAAAGTGTGAGGAGAGAGAACCTTTTTTCCTGCCGTGAAAGCAGTTCAGATATTACGTCTGTAATGGGTCTACTTCTGAGAGGGAGGGGTCTACAGTTTGGCGCTATGGCGGTAACAATCCTGTAGACCTCTTGTGTCTCCTATTTTCTGAGTGGGGCAAGTTCTCCCTTGGCAACTGTACTTTTCAGCCCTGTCTTCCTCTGGGGTGGCCGATGGGTGCAGTACCTGCAGGGCACGAGGGAGATCAGAACTCCCACAGAGGAGAAAGAGGCATATCCTGGCTGCTGTACAATTTCAGTCTCATCTTTAATGTTGCTCTACCGGAAATCTTGAAATAACAAGATTTAGAGCATAACATTTCCATTTGCACTGAAGGCATAAAAAGAAATAAATACCAAGATTTGCGGGGCAGGAAGAGGAGGAGAGCAGAGAGCTGAAGTGAGAAGTTTTTTGAGCAATGAACCAAGGTGGCAGTTTCATACAATAAACAACAGGAGTCTTCAAAGGACTACGTTTTTCCTCTGGAAGCCTCCCATTAGTAAGGACAATCCAGCTGCTTTTTGAAACCTAACCCCTCCACGCCTTCAAAGAAGCAGACTTCAGCATTTCCAACAGCATTCACTGGTGCCAGGGTTCCTGAAGAGCCCGCGCGTTGCATGCCCTTTGCCTACTGCAACTCCAAGGAAGCTGGGGGCTGGTAACACCTCTGCACACCATTGAAGGGCTGAGCTTTATTCCTTAAAGCCTTGGGAAGGGAGTTACAGGAGCAGAAATCAACCCACATCCTCTGTATAACACAGTTCAAACCTTTGCTACAGATCACTTGAGAGAAAACATTACCTATCCCGCAGTCATTTAGATAAAACATAAAGTAGAAACATTTCACTACATAGGAAAGACTGCTGCTGTTTTGAAAAGCAAATGGAGCTGGCACTTCTTCTTGTCTATCTTTATTTAAGCATTTGTTTAGGCTCAAGTCTATTTATGTTTTAAATAAGTGTGCAGTACTTTTAAAAAGTATCTAGTGATTTCCATCTCCAAAAGTCATTTAGGACTCAAGACCACTAACTTTACAGCTGCTGGCCTCACAAGTAGCTACTTTACTGAAGAACATTGAACATATGCTCCTAATTAATTTACACCATTCAGAAGATGCTTATACAAAATCTCTGTCTAGGGTAAGGCTTTATGCTACATTGGTCACCATAGCATCTGAGTACTTCCCAGCTAACCTGTTTCACAGAAGAAGGACTGCTGGAGTCTTCAGATGAGGATCACCTATTCAAACCAGCTGGACCATCTGGTTTTTTCCCCATCTTCTTTCCAGTGCAGTTTACTTTGACTCCTAAAAAAATTATTAAACCCATTTTTCATGCTGGCATCTGCAGTATTATTATTTCACTTTGCTACACCATGCACTTGAACATTTTTCCAAACTGTCTGTAGATGAAAAATTGGAAAATCGTAAGGGCTGATATTGCTGGAAAATGGTTCTTAATAGGCAATGCATATTGTGAGGGAAAAAAATGTACTTATGAAGGTTTTAAATTTGACACATTGTTTTGTAATGAAATTCTGATTCATAGAGAATATATTGTCTCAGTAATATTCACAAGTGTGAATAGAAAGGGTTATGCACAACAACATGTGGTTTTTAAATTAAGGATAAAATATGTTTCTGCACATATATCATGAGCTATTTTGTAATGTACATTGAAGCTGCTACATATTTCTTCCAAATGTTACGGGTACAAGTCTATTAATGTCTAACTATACAGTGAGTTTGACTTTTAACAGAATATTGGTCTTTTATTTCTGCATTTTTTTCAGTCTCAGTTGTAATCTTGAAAACAAGATCTCTAGCTTATCCTCTGAGCACTCTTAAAAATGAAATAATTAATCACATGTTATTTATCCATATTTCAAATTACAGATATGTCATTTCTTGTAGATCAGTAGCCCACAAAACTCAGTGATCCTCTGAGGCTCCACAACAGCTTGACCAAATAGCTATTGAAGTTAAACTGGTATCATTTAAATACTTAATGTATCATCAGTTAGCTTTGAAGACTAGGTATTCTTGGCAGTTTCTCGAAATCAAAGTCAAGTCTTGCTTTTGGAATAAAAGTGCAATTATAGTTGTCTCAAATATCTGTCAAAATGACCTGTAAAGGTCAGTAGCCTAGCACAGAAGGTTCACTAATAGAAAACTACACTGAGAGAGTAGTTTTCAGTGGATGACTGTCAAAACTAGAAAGATGTACTGAGTGGGCTTTGGCGGGGATCAGCCCTGGAGCCAGAACTATTCAAGACAGTCCTAAGCAGTTCGCAAGACTAAAAAGTATGTGTCCAAGTGAAAGCAGGATGGGGGGTGGGGGCAGAGATGTATGCTACTGGGGAGGGCAATAATTCGAAACAATTCCAACAAATTGCAGAAAAGGTCTGGAAAAAATGGGATGATAGTCAGTGGGGCAAGTGCAAAATGGGATGTTATGCAGGATTCATCAGACGCATACATGCAGGATAAAGAGCAACTGACAAATGCCATTTCTCTAGAAAAGGGATGGACAGTACCTGTGGATGATAAGCCAAGTGACAGTCAACATTTCATGCTGTTGCAAAGCAGGAAAACATGGTGCTGGGTTGCAGAAATACAGGTACAATTTGTAATATACATAGAGTAATCCTTTGCTTGGCTCAGTGTTAAGAAAGCCGGGTGAGAGTTTAGTTTTGGATGTTACTACAATGTGGTTCACATTGCTTGTTGTTCCCTGAACTATCTCCAGTGAAAATCTTCAAGACTCTGGAAAACATGAACTGTAAGCAAAGCTTGAAAGAACTGGGGTTGTTCATCCTACAGGGAGGGAACACGATGAGAGTCTGAGGATGTAACAGTTTGCTGCAATGAGGAAGGGAATCATCTCTTTCCTCTGTCCGTGGCAATTAGAATGGGAAACACTGAACTTAAACAGCACCAAGGAGCATTCAGGTTGGAGGTTAGGAAAAACTTCTCTTCTGACAGCGATAGAGTAGCACTGGAAAGCACAGCACAGGACGGGACACAAATCCTGTCTATAAACAGGTGGGGTAGTCGTGGCAGGAATGATGTATTTGCCCTGAGTGAGGAAGATAGATTTCATGAACAATAAAAGCAGTACTGTTAAGACAGATTTTCTCACAAAGAATAGGGGTTTGTAGTCACTTAAGAGGGGAACTGCAAATATGGGTATCCCAACCCAGTAGTAGGCAGGCTGCAGAACAAGGTAGGTGCCTCATTCATGACATGGGAGGAAGAGTGCAGGCATAGGGGCGCACCAGTTGCTTGCATAGAAGGAGATATCAGTGCAAGAAGGAAGGGAAGATAGTCTGGAGATGAAAATCAGGGAATGGAAGGATATTTCCTACTTGCTGCTACTCAATGTTAGCAGTGAAGGAGATAATGAACTGGCTTGCACCCAGCTTTACACCCAGCCAATTGACCAGCTGGTATGGTGCAGCCAGGATGCAAACACATATCCAGTCTCCTAATTTTTGCAAGTGGTAGAATTTTCTAAGCTTCCAACACCTTAGGTTTGCTATGCCATGCCTTC